CTGCAGTTTTCAGAGTTACCAGCCCCACGTGGGGCAGCCCTTCTTGAGAAGCTGACGGTCGCTCGCTGATCAAAATTCCTCGTTAGTCTGACAGTCCGTCTAGACAAAAAATTTTTTTACACTGTTTCGACCTTAATCTGTCATCTTCAGGTGATTCTCTTTGAGTGCTCGAAACTAACAGATATGGCTGATAAATCATGTGCATGTTATAAAAACAGATAACATTAATATGTAAACAATTTAGCAGGCACACCTATTAGTTTCGAAACACCTGAAGATGACTAATTAAGGTTGAAGCATGCAGTGGATCTTAACAAACACTGAAACTGCGTTCCTTGGCGGACCAACAACGAACGGGATCCTCGCTTTTCACGAAACCCTAAGGTTTGATGCCAAATTCACAAGGTCTCCCCCACTGGACCTTGCTCTCAACTAGTTTAATCCCAGTCCACACACCCCCACACCATTTTTAATATTATCCCATCTACGTCTGTGTCTGGAAAGTTTTCTCTTTCATTTAGGTTCCCCCGATTAAAGATGCGCACGAGTGTCACGTCTCCCATGCTCTGGCCGCCCAATCCTCTTGGGTGCAGAATAAAAGAATTAGCCAGGTCCAGGTCTCGCTCCGCCTCAAGAACGCGACCTTGGATTCTCCCTTCCGCTCCGCCCCACACAGACGTCACGACGGTCATCAACATGTGAACGTCTGTTTGTGTTCATCCTTTGTTCACATTACTTGAGGTAATATTAACTGTAAATGCGACATTTTTGGAGCAGTTTAAAGAAACCTTTTGTATTTTTCTCACGTTCTCATTTCTGTTGTTGTTCCACATTTTACATCAACTGACGCGGGCAATCCTTCTGCGAGCTATTATTTCCTTTTCCTTCAGGCACTTCGCGTACCAGGTTTCGTGGCCACTACGTATTTATTTACGTCAAAGTTTTTATCAGTCACCCAGTGGCAAGGTAACGACCTTGGTTATGGTACAAGACGCTTAAAATGCACTGCTTGTTGCAGAGGTTTCGGATGCTTATGGTGGCAAGTACGAAGATTAGTATCTTCCGGGATAATGCCAATCACCCTGATGATGAAGACAGTAAGCGCCCCTGAAACGTCAGTAAACTTCTACGGGGCTGCACAGTGAAACTTCCCAGAAGATAGTAATCTTGAACACAGAGGATCCATTGTATGAAACTCGACAGCGCTGTCCAAATGTCGTCGAGGAAACAAGAGACGACGTGTGTCGTGGCAAGCTGTGGCACTATTCCTCCGGGCAGAGCGACATTTGAAACAGGAGGGAGATCCCCAGGTTAATTTACTCGCTCCAACTAAAACGTCCGTTCTTTGTCTGGTCCACAGCTAAGGAGCTGACAGATTCAGATGTCTGGAC